TTTGCTGTGTTTGATGCACCCCAGGATGCGGTTTGCCCTCTGGGCTGCCAGGGCAGCACCAAAGATTTGAGGCAATAACTTTTATTTGTAAAGCCAGTTGTTTGGATTCACATCTTTGGGCATCCACCCATTATCATGGCAGGGGCAGCTATTTTACCTCAAATCTGACAGGACTCTGTAGGAGGGGCATGCATAATCCCACTGCAGGGTTGACAGTGCTGGTGTCCCAGTGTGGTGCCCTTTTGTGACTTGTTCTGCTCTGGGCCAGGTCTTTTTCCTGAAGAAGCCTCACCTCCCTTCCATGCCACAGAAGGGCCTGATCCTTGTGTTCCACCGTGAATTCTCCTCTGAGAGGGTTCCCAAGATGTGAATCCTAACCTTGACTATTTCTGGGAGTGGGAAGAAAGAGAGTACCTTTTGCAAGGACAATGGTTCATGCCACAGTGTTATTCCTTCCCTAACTGACTGCTCTTTTCTTGGCATTAAAAGGTGCCGCTGTCTTAAGGAAGAAGATCGTGCCATGAATGAGTACCCTGCACTACATTATCCTGAGCTGTATGTCCTGAAGGGAGGCTATAAAGAATTTTTTCTTGAGCACAAGGTTACAGGAAGACCTCTGGGCAAGATGCAGGGTTTAGAGAAAATACCATCAGAATACTCTGGCACAGTATAGCTGTCTAGCCAGTTCCTATCTGTTACGGAAGAGTATAAAAGGTGGCAAACGTGGACTTGTATTTCCCCAGAGAATTCTCCATCATTTAGCAACTTGTGGCATCTGTGTATGTAATAGCCCTTGGTAGCATCTTCTTCTATAAATGTTTCCATCTTAATTTTTTTCAAATCTATGTAAATTTGTGACATTCATACTGCCCCATAATAGACTTGGGAAGCTTCATCATATCTCGTGTTCTGAACCTGACACCCGTTTTCTTTTGGTGCCTACAGTATTGTATTGAGCGACTGTGTAGTTTTCCATTTAATGCTCTCCGAGGCACTCAGGGTTTCACAGACCTGTGTCAGATCCTCCTCAAGTCATTTCTTCTTGACTGAAGAATCTCAGTGTATTCAACTCTTCCTTGCTAGGAAGCCATTTCATACTTTGATCAGCCTTGCCACTGTTCTCTGTCTCTCTTCCATCTCTGTTATATTCCTTGAGATAGGGGACCTATAAGGACTTTATATAGTTGTATAATGTTCTTCTCTGTTCTGTTGCTTATTCTTCGTATTTGATTAGGTTTTAGTTTTGGTTTTGGCCATTACTGAGCTCATGAGAACTGATATCATAACAGGCAGTTCTGCAGAACTCCCAAGACCTTCCTCCCAAATAGTCTGTGAAAGCTGATAATTTTTTATGTAAAGCTAGGATTGTTTTCTCCCCATAGGAGCTGACGTAGCTAAAGATACTCATGGATTGCCTGACTCCTAATTTGTTTCAGCCAGTGGACTGTGCTTCTGTCTCACCTGTAGGTGCTGGCATGGATAAACAATGATTGTGCCACACTGAGAACATACTGGCTCCTGGGATAAACTATCTACTTTTGTCTGCCCAGCATCTCCCAATACTAACCACTCAACATTATGCATTTTCCCTCCATTTACCAGGAACTCTCTGAACCTCAGAGCTATTTTCCAATGCACCATCAGGACTTCAAAGTAGAGCTGCTGAAATTCCGCACCAAGAGCAAGTCATGGACTATGGAGCAAAGGAAGCAGGACCAGATCACTTGCCTCGTGAAACTATGAGCACCAAAGCAATATCTGGCATAGAAGCTGAGTAAGAGAGTTGTGTCTTCCAGAGCAAAGTTCAGCTCCCTGAAGACAGCTAGACTGTGATGGTGAAAGAAAAAGGGAACCTCCCTTGTTCTGCTGAGACTGCTAGGACAAATTAGGAGGTCTGTTTAAAAAGTCTTGACACTGCCTCTGCAAGACACTGGCTGAGCATAAAGCCACAAATAAAAGAGTACCATAGCTGCCTAGGGAAAGAACAGGCTTTGTTCGCTAAAGACTAAGCCAGCTTTTAGGCTGTCTTGCCTAAAGACTGCAAGGCAGAGTATGTCATTGGTTGAGCTCTCGCCCCTCCTGCTTCAGACAGGAGTCTCCATGTTTTTCTTTAGTACTAAACATTGCTGTGGATTTTGTTGGTAGTTGTCACTTCTGACTGGTAAAATAAAGAGTTGGAGCAGACCAAGGTGTTTGAGCACTGGACCTTCTTCCCTGTGGCAATTCAGTGTTAAGAAAGCGAAACATGCAGGTGCTAAGATACCTAAAATGATGATTTATCAGCCCATCACCAGCCAGGATCAGGTACGCCCAGCAAATAAGTCTCCAGCAAGTAAGTCTTCATGCTTCCACAAAGATCAACAGTGAGAACTGGAGAAGGGTAACTTCTCTATCGCATGTCTGTTAAGTCCTTATTGACACATCAGCCATGGTCTTCCCAAGCTGCAGCTATTAAACTACAACTACAATTTTTTCTTGAGTACTGGCTCAGTGTAATTGAATTGCCGGTATCTCCGTTTAGACTCTAGGTGGGGATGACAAGTCTGAAAATCTGATAGGTTTACATATATTTATATAGTACCAGCCAACAGATGAGGTTAGCAGACAGCTATCTATAAGGGAAGGCTACTCAAATTCTCCCTTTTGGATGTTATTATGGCCTCCTATGGAGCAGCTGAGGGTGGCTGTTTTCAGAGACAGACCAGGACTAGGATGAACTCTATCCTGCTGCTTTCTGCCACTCCAATGGTTTGGCATGGGTTCTGAGGTTGTATGTAATAAGAAAGAAAATTATCAAGGTAAAGAAATACTGATGCTAACTGAGAGTTAATCATCATACACAATGAGCTTGTATGTTCTGCTTTACAGCTAAGTTACCTGTCAATGCAGAGCTCCTGACAATTAGAAAAGGCATGAAATGGGGGTGATGATAGTAGAGTTAAAAAAGAAAATACCGCTTTTCTGTTAGAATTCTATTAGGTGCCAGAGTAAAATGAGTTGCAATCTACCAGCCACGTATGTTTTAACTTTCTCCTGACCTATGAGGTAATACTTTTGAAGGCTATGATTCTCAGAAGATGTGTCCATATTCATTTATCAGCTCTTACCTAACAAAACCCGAGAGCAAGAAAAACTGAGGATCATGCTTGCTAGGAAAAGTGTCACCTTTTCTGCACGTCCTCTGGAGATGGTACACGTAAACACAGCACTGTCCCTAGCAGTGTTTTCTAGACACGGTTCTGTGCATGCTTGTCTATAAGGGCTGAGGTGACCGACAGTGCACCCCTGCCGTGCAGCCAGCGGGCCTCCCTCCAGGGCTCCTGGGCATGGCGTGAGGACGGGACCCACCAGGTGGCACTCCTGAAGCACCACCAGGGACCGCGGCCACAACCTGGTGCAGCCCACTGCTTTTCCAGCACATCTGACTCCTAGGGAAAGGGGATTAGGACAGGTCTCTCCCGAGAGATGGCACAAACAGAAACTGCAGAGCCCTGCAGAGTATCTAATGTTCCTGAGCCTTCTTAGACCTGCATGAGGGGATTTTTTTTTTCATCCCAGGGCATTAGGTGGGCTACAGACTCCAGTACGGTAGCCCCTGTGTATGTGTGTTCATCAAGAAGAGATGGTGCTGTATTCCTTTGTATTACTCCCAACCATCCTGCCTCCCCAACCATGTGATATACCACTGAGCAGGGCCCTGGGGATCTAGCTAGAACATCCTCCATTTTATTACAAATTATCTAGATTGCTGGGGTAAAAGGGGTGCATAAGCATACCTGCGATGGTGCCTCAGCTGTTGGCACAGCTTCCCTTCAGCATGGGTTAGTTAAAATAAAAAAACCCCAACACAACAGTGTCTATATACTGCTACTAAAAAAAAAAAAATTGGACAGCTTTACCCATTTGGCTTGGATGCAAAATCTCAGAGGCAAGCCTTACCTTCTCACCTATTAGCCAAACAGTCTTAGTGTTCTGGAGCACATTGCGTACGGCACATTGAATCTCCCTTTACATTTATGCTGACTGACCTTCACCTCTACATAAAAATCTCAGTTAAAACCTCTCTGAGAACAGTGAGGTATTCTCCCGGACTGCCAACAGTATCTTGCTGATAGCTCTTAAGGCAAGTACTTTGTTGGATGCTTAAAAAGAACAGGAGGGATAGGAGGGAAGAGCGGGTTTTTCTGAGGACAGACAAAGAAATTGGAAATCCTAGAAACCTTGTTGCCAGGGGCAGAACTAGTAGAGAAAGCCTCATCCATCTGGACACAGCAGCTCCCTGTTGTGGTCCAAAGTCCTGCCATGTGGGAGTGGCTCGTACCTGGGTCTTTCCTGGTAGTCTCTAAAGCACCTAATGCTGCTGATAAGATGTAAAGTAAACAGCCCCTGCGCTGCTGCCCTGCCATGTGCCCATCTCTTTTACAAGCAAAGAGGAGAAAATGTACAGGAGTGATTAAAATGAAAACCTACTGCAAGCAGCCAGAGCCTGCTGCCTCCGGTTCTGTCTTCCACAGCACTGAAAGGTAGTGAAGGTGGAAGCAGGGTGGGACCACTGATCTTTGCTGCCTAATGTGCCTTAGAGTCCTCTGTCTCATGGCTTGAATGAGTGGAAACCCAGTCCATTCCACTGTGGAAAGCAGCTGTAGGGCTGCTACTGAATCAAGGGGAAATAATCTATGTTCTGTAACTTGATTGCTCCCATACCTGCTTAAGTACCTTGCCAACCTACAGGAACAGTAAAAATCTCGTTTTCAGTGCCATTATTTTTCTGTCATCATGTTCAATATAGTACATGCCCCTGAACAGCTGCCACCCCTGAAGGCCTGGGTCTGTCTTGCCACTGCCAGATCCACTGTCCTGCATGCTAATTTAGCTTCACTTGAGACAAGGAGAGAGCAAGTAGCTGCTCTGACAATATGCATCATGGATATACCAGGATCAGAACAAGGGGCTCACAGTGCATCCCTTAAATGTCTTTGAATCAAAATCTAGTGTAATGCATTATTAAAGCTACTTACTTTTTCTATGTTCTCGTCTCTGAAAAAAATTACACTTAAGGTAGTAGAGCAGTGCTGTTCTAAGGAGCTCCTCCTTTCTTCTCTTGAAGAAATATTTTGGCTTTCCTTTTACAAATAATTTTTCTTCTGAGCTGCTCATGACTTGGATTGCTTCTGAATCTGTCATCCAAGCATGTGCACACTAACCATTGCCTTCACTAGTTGGTGGGAAGGGACTTAGAGTCTCTAATCCAAAATCCATGTGCTAGGCAGTGCTACCACCAACACAAGAGCAAGTTGGCTGTGGCTTTTTCTACAAGTTTGGATACAGACTCCAACATGTCTCTGGATAACCTGTTCTAGCACTGCACCAACTTCTTAGTGAAAAAGTTTTTCATAGTATCCAGCCTGAACAACGCAAGCTACAAATTGTGGCCATCATCACTTCTTATATCACCTGCCATTGCCAATATGAGTTTGGGTTTGTTGCCTTTGCAACTCACGCTCAAGCAGCTGTAGGCTGATAATAGATTGCCTCTGAAACTCCTCTTTGCCAAACAAACAAGCCCAGCTCTATTAACCTCTTTGTAGGTCGCATGCTACCATCTTGGTAGCCCTCCACTGGACTCTCTCTAGTTCCTCCACATCCCTCTTGAACTTCAGGGGTAGGGAACTGCACACAGCAGTCCAGATGTAGCCACACCAGTGCTAAGTAGACAGGAGTAACTTCCTTCAGTCTCTGGCCATGTTCTTCCTAATACAGTGTGGTGCGTGGGTTGTCTTCTTCAGGATCAGAGCTTACTGGTATCCATGGCAATGTCCAGGTCCTTTCAGTGGGGCTGCTCCTCAGCCAGTCAGTCCCCTCCCCGAACAGATGCATGGGGTAACTGTGCCTTGTTATAGAACTCCACTCTGCTTCCTAAACTTCACAAGGTGCCTGCTGACCCAGCCCTCTCATTTCTCAGAGTCCCTCTGGATTGAAGCTCTGCTGTTCAGCATGTCAATTGCTCACCCTAAATTATCATCATCATAAATTTGCTAGTTCCTTTTTCCTGTAGGATGACTTACAGACAGTTATTCTCACCAAAGATATAGTCTATCCATTAAGCTATATAACTTTGTACCTATTCAGACAAACACCTAAGTATCTCTGATCTTCCTGCTGTGAACCACACTGAGGCTAAAATACAAGAGCAGCTTTGAATGCTTTATTCATAGGAACAAAGGAATAAAACTGTATCTGAGCCAGAAGTGGCCAAATACCACAGGTACTGAAGCAGAAAACTATGGGTAGCTGCTTTGGATGTCAAACCCCTGAACCTTCTTTGGCAATGAGCAGCCAGAGCTGTTTAGGGCACTAGCACTCATGCTAGGAAATGAAGAGGGTTTTATTTGGTTTTCTATGAATATAGACATTAACTTCTGCTGGGCTGTTTGCATTAGGTTAATATTTCTGTAGCATACAGGTGTTAATATGAGCTGTGAGTGTCCGCTGTCTGTCTCTAGCCCTGTAAAGAGCAGAGTGTGGCGCTGTAAATATTAGCCCAGGCAGGGAAGTGTTTGCACAGCCCTCCTCTGTGCTGCCTCCTGCAGTAGTACTCCGATAGTACTCCTTACAAATGACCAAGGCTCAGCTGTCAGAGCCTCAGCATCTTCTGCATTGCGCAGTAATATGCTCTGGTTTTGACTCAAGAAGGGTTGTGGTGATCAAATCCTGAAGCACCAGTGTGCTATGATCTTCATAAGATTAGCACTACACGAAATAAGGTACAACTAAGTAACTCAGCACATACTGCAAACAAAATACTTGCTTGGTCAAACCCACTCTTCACTGGCTGTGGTAGTTGCAGATGTAGAGAAGAAATGCCTAGCACATCACTGGAACTGCTACTTGCTTTAATATAGCGATATGCAGTCATTTAAGAGGGAAACTAATGATTTGTGCTCTTGGTTTGTTCAAAAGGGCTCCCCACTAATGGAAAGGACTGTCCATTACTGTTGATTTGAACAGAAGAGGAAACTGAAACTATCCTCCTGCAGATACTGTAGGGACCTTCCTGCCACCAAAGAGAGGAACAACTAATGAGGAAAGAGCACCAGCATGGTGAATGGAATCCTTGTTCCACAGAGGATCCTGCGTGCACCTCACACGCAGTCTATGATAAGACATAACATAGATGTG